AAAAATTAATTAAAATAATATAATTTGAATGCTCGCTCCGGCCCAGTGGCTTTGGGTTCTGGGTTAAGGCTGTTCACCTTCGTGGGTTACACGTTCGAGCCCCACAAAACCTTTTTTCTCTCCTTCTCCAATTAAGCCTGTAAATAATTATAAATTGGTAAAAAATATATATATATATATAATTTTAAAATATTTTTTATTTTATTTTTTTGCAATGCTGTTAACAAACATTTTTTCTTATATAATACTATGAATTTTTCTAGGTTTTCATTATTAATAATATATTAACTTCATGATAAACGCTAAACTTTACAGTTAGATTTTGTCATAGGTATTTAAATTATTAGCAAAATGTCTGGGACTCGCAGTTGGGGGGAGGGAGGGAGAGGGGGAGGTGTTGGGCAAAATTAGTACCCAGCTGCTGCCTACTTCCTTTTGAGAGAAATGCAGTTAAAATGGCTTAAGAAATAAATGTGGGTAAAATAACTTTTGTTTTCACTCGTATCCTTGACAAATTCACAGTGATAATGGTAAAGTCCGTTATATACGTTGCTCAGTGTCTCCCCTTAACAAAGCTGCCAAATCTCTTGAACCGGATTTTGAGTTTGACGGTTCGTGCCAAATTTTAAATGTTTGAGTATAATTAATTAGGAGTTCGAAAAATCCCCTCCCCCATATTTCCCGCGTTCAAGAAAAAATAAAAAGCCGCTAAACCTCCTTTCTATAATTAACCATTGAAATGGCGTAGGAAATCAGCCTTTGCTTTAATTCATAAGTTAAAAACAACTTTTAACCCCTCATCTTGTATAACTCATAATTTTATAATGTGATATTTTTAGTTTTTTATCTTATAAAGTTAATAGATTTTAACTCTTCACTTTACAAAATTGATAAGTTTTAATTTTTTATCTTATATTATGATATTGGTTAAATGCTAAATTTGATCCCTCAACTTTAAGAAATATACATTCTTGATCCCTCAATAATTTTTTACATTTTTTTATCCCTCAACTCTAAGAAATGCACACCGTTAGTCCTTCTGTCAATTTAGACCGTTAGTCCTTCTGTCAATTTAGACCGTTAACTACGACATGTGGAATTTTTTTATAATTTTTTTGATGATATGGCAAAAAAAATTTAAAAAAGCGTTGATTTAGAATTTTTTTTAAGACATGTCATCGCCAACTCATCATCAACTCATAAACCGATTTTGCCTTAATAAAAAAATAAAAAATTACAAATTTACCCATCTCCTTTTCTTGATCCATCTTTTTCCCCTCTTTCGATCATCTTCTTCCTTTCTTTTTTTTCTTTTTCTTTCTTCCTCTGCGTGTATTGGGTTTGGTGGAATCCAGCAAATTGGGTTCGATGGAACCCAGCTCCACTTTTTTGTTTTTTTTTTTTTTTT